GTTTCCATGCATCATCAAAGCCTCCAGGGGCTGAAATTCTCCGTTCTCTCCTGGGCCTCGAGCAACATTGTGACGGCTGAATGGGCAGACACATGGACCTTGCTAGACAGCTCAGCCGAAGCAGCAGTCCCGGCCTGCCCGCTCCTTCCTTTTGGGCAAGGCATGAATCACTGCCATGGCCAACTCAGGTCCCCAGAGAGGGGCTGTCTCAGTGGGCATTCAGCCTTCACGGACATTTGCAGAAGGGTTGGAGGGACCCTCAAGGGACCCTGGCAAGGAGGTTCTGATGAGCCTGGCCAAAGGATCCTGCCGGCCAAAATCTCCTTCCCTCTGATCAGACAGTGCCCCCCACCCTGCAGGACACGGCTTTCCTTTCTCTTCTGCCAGGGAGTTTCTCCTCTTGTAAAGAAAGGCGCCAGCAGTGACTCTGCTGCAGAACCCACATTGACTCCCAGACGCAACAAGGAATTGAACAGAGTAGAATAGAAATAAGAGAAGAGGATACAGAATGGAACAGGGATAGAAAATAGAATAGAATAGAATCAGAATGAATGGAGTGGAGTGGAGTGGGATGGGATAGGATAGAAATTGGAATAGAATAGAATAAGCTAGAATAGAATAGAATAGCAGATTTGGAAGGGACCTTGGAGGTCTTCTAGTCCAACCCCCTGCTTAGGCAGGAAACCCTACACCACTTCAGACAAATGGCTGTCCAATCTCTTCTTGAAGACCTCCAGTGATGAAGCAACCACAATTGTTAATTGTTCTCACTGTCTGGAAATTTCTCCTTAGTTCTAAGTTTCTTCTTTTCTTGAGGAGTTTCCACCCGTTGCTTGTTGTCCTGCCTTCAGGTCCTTTGGAGAATAGCTTGACTCCCTCTTCTTTGGGGTAGCTCCTGAGATACTGGACCACTGCTCTCCTGTCTCCCCTGGTCCTTCCCTTCCCTAGACTAGCCAGGCCCAGTTCCTGCAACCGTCCTTCATATGTTTTAGCCTCCAGCCCCCTCATCATCCTGGTTGCTCTTCTCTGCACTTTTTCTAGAGTCTCTACCTCTTTTTTTTTTTAACATCCTGGTGACCAAAACTGGATGCAGTCTTCCAGGTGTGCAGCCGGCCTGGTACCGACTGATTTCCCTTCTCCCCTGCAGAAAAACAGGAGCGCCGTGTCATTGTTGGAGCCCTAAAGCCACTCCCAGCTCAGGCCGGTTTTTTGATCAAGGCATTCTTGGTAGTTTTCCAGCCATTCTGCTCTACGCTTCGTTGGCAGCAGCCAGTTTCAGGCCCTGGTCAAAAAGAACAGCCAGGATAGTGTTTAAGCCCCACGCTGGGTTGGCTAAGGGGCTTGTGGGAATCCAGACCTTTTGGCTCAATCAGAGGATCGGGACCAAAACAGACATTGGCACAGAATGAAGTCTGAACTTGGGCAGTGAAAGTCGGGGTTCCTAAATTGAGTGGAAGTGTGTGACGTTCCTGATTTGGAGACCTTCGTATCTGTAACGGACAGTTAAAAATCATTTTATTTGCATTTATATTTGGAGAAATCCCTTTTTAGTTCTGGTGGTGGGGTTATATTCAAAAGAGCCTGTTCTGTTGATCCGTGTAACCAGCAGGTTCATCTCAACAGCAATTTCCTTTCCTGGCTAGAAAAATAATATTCTCTAATCCTGCACTACCAAAAAAATAGGGACTGTGAAACTGAATTAAATACAAGAGGGCATTCAACTTGTCAAGGCAGGGATTATTGTCCTTATTCTGCAATTAACCTAGCTGAGATACCTAGAAGGGGACCTGCCCATCACTTTTAATCAGGAATCTTTTAGTGTTTGGAGTGTTTTTAATCAAGAACCTTTCAGGGTTTGCTCTTCTTAAATCGACAAAGCCACTGACAATATCAGCTTGAAACTTCGAAAAATTCCTCTAGAAAGACCTGAAGGGTTTCATCATGGAAACTTAAGACGGCTGCAGTGGTTCAACTGAAGCTGTACCAGGTTTAGCCTTGTGGGTTACCTGCCAAATTCACATTGCTGCCTAGCATTGTGTTTTCTGTTATATTTGGACACCTGACAATCAGAACCCCCCCGTCTTTCAACACACATTTGTTCTTGTTAAATGACACGTACAAAAGGGTTACACATGGACGCCACAACTTGGTGTGTTTTCTCTCCCAAGCCAGCTGAACTGGTTACTGGCTTGTCTACTGAATAATATCGGCCAGGGATCTTTGTGTGATTGTTGTAAAGTGAATTTCAGGCTCCTGCAGGGTGACCTGGGTTGAAACCTCACACCAATCTAAAAAGCACAAAGGCTGTTGTTACTCATCAAAGAAATTACAGTAAAAAGAAATTTTACTGTATGTTAGCGAAGCATTGCTTGGAATGCGCGTGCAATCTTTTTTTTTTATCGGGAAGAAGGACAACGCAACGTTTCATGCAAACCTTGGTTCTGTTACATTCCTCTAATTCTGTTAATAGGGGGAGGGCAGCCGTGGCTCACTTTATGACAGGGCAAGGATTATGGGATTGCAAGTAAAGGTTGCATAAATTCTAATTGTTTGTTTGCCTTGATCGACAGTCTGGTAACTCCTCTTATTATTTATCATTATTTTTTATTATTATTATTTTCAGATTCAAAACGACCAGTGCCAAGAGATGGACTCCACCAGTGATAAATGGGTGAAATTAACAGATAACGGAGAATGGGGATCTTATTCTGTAAGTGCGACTTTGTGTGGCTTTTCTTGAAAGTTGAGGCGGTTTTTTAGACGGATTATGTTGAGCTCAGAACATCCCACAGTGCTCCAAACCATATTTCAAGGTCAAAATGATTTATCTCTGGACTTGATTATTTCTGCCCTGGCTGGAAGATATTTCAGAATTTTAACAGTGACAAATTTCATGGTAAGATGCTCTGCCCTCAAACTATTTTGATCTCAAAACCCTTTTGTGGGTCTCTATTGCTTAATGTCCGAATAATGAAGTGCTAACAACCCAAAAGCATTATGGTTTTTTTTTAATAGAACAGAATAGAATATGAAATAGAATAGAATATGGAATAGACTAGACTAGACTAGAATAGATTCTTTATTGGCCAAGTGTGATTGGACGCCCAAGGAATTTGTCTTGGTGCAAATGCTCTCAGTGTCCATAAAAGAAAAGATACATTCATCAAGAGTCAAGAATCATCAGGTGCAACACTTAAAGATAGTCATAGGATATGATAAGCAATCGAATCATACTAGGAAACAGTCAATATAAATTGTGTTGATACAAGCGACAAAGTTACACTCATACAGTCACAAGTGGGAGGGGAGAGGTAATAATGAGTGATGAGAAGATTAATAGTAAGAGTAATGGAGACTTTGGAAATAGTTGAACAGTGTTGAGTGAATTACTTGTTTAGCAGAGTGATGGCTTTTGGGGGAAAAACTCTCCTTGTGTCTAGTTGTTCTGGTGCGCAGGGCTCTACAGCATCGTTCTGAGGGTGGGAGTTGAAACAGTTTTTGTCCAGGATGTGAGGGATCTGTAGATATTTTCACAGCCCTCTTTTGACTCGTGCAGGATACAAATCATTCATCTTCCTTTTTTCCCCCTTTCCTTGGTTCTCTGAAGTTGCCTGCAAATTCATGAAAATCTTATCAGTCACAACCCGGCTAATCTTAGTCAATAGTGAGTGGGACAACGTTTTCTCCAAAGCCTTTGAGGGCAGGAAAGGAAGTAAAGGTGGAAGATCATTAAAGAAAGTTCTGACCTGGAACTAAGGAGAACTTTCCTGACCATTAATCAATGGGATGCGGATTAAGTTGTGGGAGCTTCATCACTGGAGGTTTTCAAGAAGAGACTGGGAAGTCACTTGTCTGAACTGGTATAGGACCTCCAGCTTGAGCAGGGGGTTGGACTAGAAGACCTCAAGGTCCCTCCCAGATCCATTATTTTGTAATTCTGTGAAGGGACTCACCTCTGCTGCTTCACCCAGACTGAAGAAGTGAGGCAGTCACTAATTGACGAGGCTTATGTGTTACACTGAGCCACTAGATGGCCAATTCATTTGAGACTTAGTGCTACAAACTGTGATGTTTGGTCACGGACATTTGTGCTGTAATGAGGCCGAACCGCTGTGGCTTAGGTTTAAAAAATAAAATAACAAATCCATGGCTTTGAATGATGTAATTGATCGGTTAAAGCAGCATTTAAGCATTTAAGTGAGGCCGCTTTAAGTCTTTTTTCTTAAGCAGTCTCCTAGAGAACTCCAGATTTCCACCTTCCCAATAAAGAGAAAGCGCTTCTATTTTGAGATTTTGTGCCTGGTGTCTCCAAAATGGTGGGGAGAAACGTCGCATAAAGTGCTCGAAGGTGTGAGGCAGCCCATTTTAGTTACACACCGGTGTATCCTTATCACACATGTAAACATTTCTGAGCAAACTCATGAGCTGAACAAACAGGGCAAGGTTTTCCTTTTAGAAAGGAACTCCTTTCCTCTCGGCTTGGAGTTGAGGTGGGGTGTGGAAATAGTGCGCACTTGTGTGTGTGTACTTGTGTGTGTACTTGTAAATTGGGTTGTCACTGTTTGGCTCTACCCTTAGTTAGTGCATTTCTTCATGGTGCTTCAGCCAAACAAGGCATGGTGTCTCAAAATCACATCAATCTCTGTGCTTCGTTATTCTGTGTGTGTGTGTGTGTGTGTGTGTGTGTGTGTGTGTGTGTGTATTTATATTTATATTTATATTTATAATTATTTATTTTCAGCTTTGTTCGGGTATTTTCCCACGTCATTATAGTTGTGCTTTTAAAGTTGTAGCAACGTCTCGGCAGAATCTCATTTGCCATCATCAGGCTTCTGTATTGTGTTCGTCTGTGAGTCAGACTTTTACAGCCATTTCTGTTTTAAATTTGGGGCCAAAACCATTCTGGCACAGAAGTAGGTTTGCCCCAAATTTAAAACAGAAACGGTTGTGAAAGCCTGATTCACAGACGAACACAATACAGAAGCCTGATGATGGCAGATGAGATTCTGCCGAAGCATTGCTACAACTTTAAAAGCACAATTATCATGATGTGGGAAAAAACCTGAACAAAGCTGAATACCATACATGTAAGTACCCGCGAAAACTTAAGAAAACACACACACACATATATATATGTTGTGGCTCCAATTCCCGAGCCTGTGCTGTCAGAGGAAGAGGACTCGGAAGATGAGGAGGAGGAACTGGGAATGCCTTCCTCCCCAGGACCTTCCTCTCTGGCAATGCCTTCCTCCCTGATAATGCCTCAGGTTTCAGCAGACAACCGAGAGGAACAGCCTGAGATTAATCAGGAGGAAGGCATATCAGAGCAGCCCCTGACAGGGAGTCAAGAGGAAGAATGTTGGCTTGATCCTAAGCAGCGTCGTAGGGAGAAATGTGAGCAGCAATGTAGGAGGTGTGGGAGGGTCAGAGAGTGAGCTGAGTCATTGAGCCACAGCCCACAGGGGATAAAAGTGGGTGTGTTGTCAGCTGGAACTTTGTACGGGACAAAGTTTAATCTTACTTCAGGTTTTCTTTGTGAATGATTTTTGTGGTCTGCTTTGTAATTTTCTGGGAGTAGCTTTTTACTTGTTATCAGTTCAGACTTGGCAGGCAGAGCGTGTTGGAATGCCAAGGACATTATCAGTTCCAAAGAATTAACTCTGTGAAGTCCGAGCCAGCTTGCCTGCCTGTGTTTGTGGGAGTTTGTATTCTTTCATCTTTTGGGAAAGAAAGGTGAGACAGAACATATATATATACATATACATATACATATACATATACATATACATATACATATACATATACACATACACATACACATACACATACACACACACACACACACACACACACACACATATGTGTGTGGATCTTTGGTTATTGGGGTTTTCTCCCACATAGAATTGGAAGTATCTAGGCGACGTTTCGATGAAGTCTTATTCATCATCTTCAGGCTTGTGTCTTCAGCCTTGTGCTTCTTAGAGTAAAAGCCTGAAGATGATGAATGAGACTTCATTGAAACGTCGCCTAGATACTTCCAATTCTATGCGGGAGAAAACCCCAATAACCAAAGATCCACATACAAATACCGCGAAAACCTCAGAAAACACACACACACACACACACATATATTTTCTTAGTTTTTGTGGGTACTTACATGTATGGTATTCAGCTTTGTTCGGGTATTTTCCCACGTCATTATAGTTGTGCTTTTAAAGTTGCAACAATGTTTCGGCAGAATCTCATCTGCCATCATCAGGCTTCTGTATTGTGTTCATCCACAGACAATGAGATTTTATATATATATATAAAAATGTTGGCAACTTTAAGACTTGTGGACTTCAACTCCCAGAATTCTCCAGCCAACTTCTGGGAGTTGAAGTCCACAAATCTTAAAGTTTGGAGACCTCTGGTGTAGGGTCTCCTGCTTGAGCAGGGGGTTGGATAGAAGACCTCCAAGGTCCCATCCAGCCAGTGGTGGGATTGAAATAATTTAACCACTGTTTTTCTGCCCTACTGATTTCTTCCAAGAACCAGTTCAACAAACTGCTCAGAGAGTTAACAACCGCTTCTCCCAAACCAGTGCGATCCGGCTGAATTCCACCACCGTTTCCCACTCTTCTTTCTCTTGTGCTATGCTTAGTTTGTGTTAAAGTGAATCTGGTATATTGTTATAAAGTGTCTTTAAAGTGAGTCTGGAGTACTAACGCTGTTATTCCTTTCTTCCCAGGTAACCCTGAAATCAGGAACAAATATCTTGTACTGGAGAACAACGGGGATATTGATGGGGTCGCAGGTGGTAAAGCCCATTCTTGTGAAAAACATCACAATTGAAGGTGTGACCATTTTCAGTGCATCCATAAGACAATTTTGTTTTCATTGCAAGGAATACTCTTGTCTTATAGCAAGGGCCTTCAAACTTGGCAGCATTGAGACTTGTCGACTTCAACTGCCAGAATTCCTCCTCCAGTCAGGTTAGCTCAGGAATTCTGAGAGTTGGAAGTCTACACGTCTTAAACTTGCCAAGTTTGAAGATCCTTGTCTTATAGTAACAGCTCTTGTACTTTTAGGTACTTAAATGAGTTCCATTCTGCTTTTCTTTAAAAAAAAATCAAATAATAATCAAGAGACTAATCATGCAAAACTGGTCATAAAAACATCTTGATTCTAAAAAAAGCATATCTTCAAGAAAAGCCAATGACAGGAAAAAATAAAATAAAATAACCAGGGAGAGACGATTAAATCAAAATGCAAAAAAAGGGGAGATTTAAAAAAAAATTCAGGAGGAATTGAGTGGCACTTTTTCAGCGTAATTCTTTTTATCCAAAGGCATCAGTTTTCACCAGGCTCAGCTTATCTGGTCAGCTGTATGGCTGATGGATGGGACACCAAGAGGAAATCCGCAAGTTGAAAATGAATTCTTTAAAAAAAGTAAAAATAGTAATAATTTTAAAAAATAATCCTGGAAAAAGGAACTGGCTATTTCTGTCCTGTGGCCAGGCAAACAATATTGATAGGTTCATGCAGACTCCAGGAATTAAGATCAGCTTCTGGTAACCTTTATTTTTGCAGCTGGAATGGGGGATGTATAGGAGAAGACTTAACATGAAAATGCGAAGTTTCTGATTTTTGATTTCTTATTCTTACTTTCCCATTCTTACATCTCTCTGAGGGAGATGGGAGGCTAAGAAATAGGGAATAAAAAGAAATTTTTGCTGTGGCGTTTTTTAAAAAGTAGTATAGCAGTTTGGCGGGTGAGTTAGTTACTAGGAAAACAGTGACACCTGCTGGATAGGAGCGAATCCACAGGGAAAATAGTAGTTTGATTAAGAATTCAGGCGAGTGAAAAACTAAAATTCATAGGAGGTCAACTCATGATTTATAGAACAATTGATAGAATAATATCATTAAGCAAAATGGTCGCTCTTTTTGTAGAACAACAACAAGAAAAAATACATTGGGTGGAAGAAAAGTTATAGTTTTTAAATAATGCAAAATTTGTAAGTTTGTATATTTTATTATTAGTATGATGGGAGTAATCTGCAAATGTGTTGATTGCAGCCTAGGAAATGGATTACACCAAGGATTTTTCCCCCCAAGATGTTTTGGGAGATGCACACGTTTTTCTCCCATCGAAGAGATTAGTGGCCCTTTCTACATGCCTATCTCCCAGGAATTTCCCTTCTTCCCACCTCAATCCCTTTTTAAAATCTCTCACCAAACTTTTGAATGAAAGTTGACATTGAGTGTAGAAGACCTACATCCCTAGATGTCAAAGGAATTGATAGAGTTTTATTCTTTGGCTGTCATTTTAAGAAAAGGGAGCACTTTCGTTTAATATCATGCTTGAAGCTTTTAAAATAAAGCAGATCTGCTATTTGGGTTAAGTTTTTAAATACATCCTCCGCTTTTTAGAATATAAAGAGGCCTCTAGCTAATCCAAGAAAGTTCTAGGTCAGAGGACTCCAAACTTGGCAACTTAAAGACTTGTGGACTTCAACTCCCAGAATTCTGGGAGTTGAAGGCCACAAACTATGCTGGCTGGAGAATTCTAGGAGTTGAAGTCCACAAGTCTTAAAGTTGCCAAGTTTGGAGACCCCTGTTCTAGGTAAATAGAATTTTGAATTTTGTATGAATTTTGTAGCTAAACAGGGATTGAAACCCAGATAATCTTGCTCCAATCCAGCATTATGCACTCCAAAATAACCTCATACACACACACACACACACACACACACACACACCCCTCCATTATTGCCACTGAAGCCTATTTCTAGGTGGTTGTGTACTTTCTTTTTCCACCCTTCTTGTTTTGCAGGGGTGGCCTACACATCTGAATGTTTCCCCTGCAAGCCGGGCACTTTTAGCAACAAATCAGGTTCCTCCTTCTGTGAAATCTGTCCAAGAAACACCTACTCAGAAAAAGGGGCCAAGGAATGCACCAAGTGTCCAGAAGCCACACATTATTCAGGTACTCTTCCCTTCTCCGAGGAGAACTGGAGGTTCCCCTCACAGCTAAAAAAGATCTCAGGGGGATTTGAAGATTAGAGATCCATTTTTTATGAAGGCGGCACTGAGAACTCATAGCCAGCCAGAGGAGCCTTTTCGATGTGATATTAAATAAGAAAGGACATTAATGTTGCATGTTCAGAAATGTGCATGAATGAAGTGGCATCATAGAACATAGAAAGGTAAGAGTTGGAAGGGACCCCAGAGATCTTGTAGTCCAACTCCCAGCTCAAGGCAGGTGTCAACTCGTAAAACATTCCTATGCCTGCTTTTGAGTTGCCATGAACAAGGGAGGGGGAAATCTAAAGGAGCAGTAGGGCAATTTAAAACCAGAAGTACATTCCACACATATCTTACAAAGATTGTAGCTAGGCTACCGGATCTTTTGCCCCTGAAAACCCTTCATTGGAGAATATGATGGATGACACCCAGCCTGTGAAGGTGCTTCATTGGAGAATCTGATACACCTGGGGGGGAGGGGGGAAACAGGGTCAGAGGTGACAATAAATCACATGTATCCGAGTTGGCTTTAACTGGGATAATGCCGACATGTTGCTCCGAATAAATCTTTTGAATTCTTTTGAAGCTTGGCTCAAGGTTCATGATTTAATTAGGGCAGCTGGCGGAACCCTGACAGCAGGAGCCTTATTAGTATCTCAGCCAAACGGTGGCCCAGTCTATTTTGGAAAACCTCCAGTCATGGGGCACCCACCACTCTGGGAGGCTAGCTACTCCATGGATCAGTCAGGCAAATATGATATGAGTGCCATTACTTGGTGGGACGAAACCCAAGAATGGAATACACGCCTGGAGGGGTTTCAATCGTTTAAAAGAAGCAGACCTAATAAAAGAGGAGGTGGAGTTGCACTCTATATAAGAAATAACTGCATCTCTACAGAAATATAGCAGAACAACTATTAAAACCATCTTGAATGCCTTTGGGTTAATATAAAAGATTAAAAAAAGAATAACGTTGCCATAGGTGTATACTACAGGTCACCCTGACCATACAGAATAGATGAACCTTTTGCTGGTCAGTTAACTAAGTTAATGTGGGAAGCTCCCCACAACGGCAGTGGGGGACTTTAAGTAGCTTGACACCAACTGGGACAGAAACTGGGCCTAATGGAAGCTCAAAGAGATTATTCTGTGAATTATTCTCACCGTCAGAATTCCCCCACCCCCTTATTTCTAAGTCGGATCTCTCCTGATCAAGTTTCCACCCGTTGCTTCCTGTCCTTCTCTCTGGTGTCACAGAGAACGACTCAACCCCCATTTCTTTACAACGGGCCCAAAAGTACCAGAAGACTGCTACATGCGCCCCCCCCCCCCATCACCCTTCTCTTCATAAATAAAGTTGCATTGAGAGGTTGTTAAAGAGAATCTGCTTTCCAGATTTATTGTATCTAAACTAGCAGATAAAGAGAAGCAGCCCACAAATGAAGAGAAACTTCTCAGCAGTGCGAACAATTAACCAGTGGAACAGCTTCCCTCTAGAAGTTGCGGCTGCTCTACCACTAGAGGTTTCCAAGAAGAAATTGGGCAGCCACTTGTCTAGAATGGAATAGGGTCTCCTGTTTGAGCAGGGGGTTGGTCTAGAAGACCTCTGAGGTCCCTCCCAGCTCCATCGTTCTGTCTCTTGCTTCTCCCACAACGGTTGAGAAAGCCCCACCTGCAGTATTTCGGGCCTCGTTATTGGCCAGGCAGGGTGTTTCTTACGCTTCCCGTCTTTTACTTTCAGATGAAGGATCAGGCCGGTGTCTGGAACGCCTGCCTTGCTCCAGCAAGGACTTTTTCCAAATCCACACGCCGTGTGATTGGGAAGGAAAAGTGAGTGGCATCCCTTCCCCTGCTCCCGATCCTCAAATCTTCCCCCCGACTATTTAAAATGGGGGCACCGCAGCGAGTCGCACGTAAGAAGCCTTCACTCAGGAGCCTCCGAAGGCTGGTCCTCCTTTCACCAGGGACCGGCTCCTGCGTGTAAAAGCTGGGCTGAACTCTGCACGCGTCCTGCACAAGAGTGAGATGCTCTCAAACGCCTTGTGGGTACACGGGTCCAGTTTCGAAAGTCAAGGCGGGAAACCGATCCATGCCTGACCTGACTGCTCATTCTTGAGGCTTCCTTTAGAAGGGAACATTTGTAGCTCAGCGTTGGAGCTCTGGTCTCTGAGCTTGGCTGTTCTTTTTCAGACGTTTCATGACCCAACTATGTAACCTTTTAAGTGTTAGATAGGACCAAACTCCACTCCCTTCTAGCACTGATTATGTTACCTAGTTGGGATATGAAATGTCTCCAAGAAAACAATGGAGCTCAGAGACCACCAAGGACCCCAGAGTTCTCCTCCTCCTCCCTCCTCCTCTTCCTCCTTCTCCTCCCTTCTTTTTCTCCCTGCAAACCCCCCTCCCTTCTAGCACTGAAGTTGTTACTTAGTTGGGTCATGAAATGTCTGCAAGAAAACCACCAAGCTCAGAGAGCCCCGAGGAGCCCACAATTCTTGATTTTTCAAGTAATGCACCAATAGTCCAGAGTCAGGCTTCCAAAGATGTTCAGCCCCTGCCATGGTGATATCTTTTCAAGCATGCTGTGAGCTAATCCTTACTCACTCCATTTCCCCTTCCTGCTCTGGTTGTGGTGGCTGTGCAGAAGAAAAGTTCCCACTCTCCCATCAAATGTTGACTATAAACATTGAACAACATGAATTTATCCAACAGAAACCGGGTAAATATCTTGCATGAATGTTCCAACATCCAGACACTTCTTTAGCAGCAGTTGACATATCTTGGATATCTTGATAGTGATATTGAATTCATGTTGTATTTGCCTCAGTCGCTTACTTCATCGGATCTTCTCCAGGCCTACGCTTGACTTCCCGCTCCTGTTGGGTTGCTCTCAACCCTGAAGCTGGCCTGACTGAGGCCATTTTGAGGCTCCCATGCTGGCACGTTGGAGGCGAAGGGCAGGGAGGGGGGGAATAGAGATAGTTGGGGTGTTGTAGGCAAAACAAAATACTTTCTTCTCTTGGGAGCCAAGGATATCCCTGCACTTGCTCGGAAGCAACTGGACGGCGTCTTGACTGGACTGTGTGACTGGTTGTTTTGAGAAAGTGACAAAATGTTTACTTTTAATTAGGTGAAAACCGTGGGAATATTCAGAGTTGGTTTTCACCAGCCTGTGCCAATATGACATATTTATTCTTTGAGGAATACACCTGCCTCAGAGTTTTGTTTGCTACGGGTACGTGACCTGGAACCGTGTCAGTGGCTTCCTTCCCTTGCTTTCTTTTCTCTTCCCAACTGTCCCTCTTTCTCAAACCTCTTTCTTTCTGTGTCTTCTCGTTTTCAGACCCAGATCATGTACAAATGGGTGGAGCCCAAGATCTGCCAAGAGGATGTCTCCGAAGCGGTGAAGCTCCCTCCTTCTGGAGAGAAGAAAGAATGCCCGCCTTGCAACCCTGGTTTCTACAACAACGGCTCGTCTTTCTGCGCTCCGTGCCCATCGGGGATGTTTTCGAATGGAAACCAGGGTATGAGAAACTGACCGGGATGGGAACTCTGGATTAGCAATAGAAACCCTCGCTTTCACTTGAGGTTGTGTTGGTGGCAGCCATGCGTCCTCTGGGAACTCAGACTGTGATACACAACACGGATCTTGAAGGATCTTGTGCCTCTCAAAAACGGGAAAGCTCATTGAATCAGGGGCAAAACAGACAGGAAATCAGACGGGATGAATTAATTCGACTTTATTGTAAGGATGCACTGACAGAACCCCGCATGTCTGAAGACACAAACTTCTTGCTTCCATTTTTAAGTGATTGATTCATTAGGGTGGGTCCTTCTGAAGTGATGTAGGGTTTCCTGCCTAGGCAGAGAGTTGGACTAGAAGACCTCCAAGGTCCCTTCCAGATTCTATTCTATTCTATTCTATTCTCTATTCCATTCCATATTCTCTTCTCTTCTCTTCTCTTCTCTTCTCTTCTCTTCTCTTCTCTT